GGAAAAAAATTCTTAAAAAAATATAGTTCCGGAATCACTAGCCAGAGCAATTAGACAAGAGAAAGAAATAAAAGAAATAAGGACAAGAAAGGAAGAAGTTAAAGCATCATTATTTGTGAATGACATGATACTCTACATAGAAGACCCTGAAAACCCCACCAAAAGACTTTCAGATTTGATAACCAAATTCAATAGTGTAGCTGGATACAAAGTCAACATTTAAAAGTCAATAGCCTTGGCAGCTGGGCGTGGTGGCACACGCCTATAATCCCAGCACTCAGGAGGCTGAGGCAGGAGGATTGCTGAGAGTTCGAGACCAGCCAGCCTAGGCTACATAGTGAGTTCCAGGGCAGTCTCAACTACATAGTGAGACCCTGTCTCAAAAAACCCAAAAAACAAAACAAAAACCAAACCAAACCAAACCAACCAAACAAACAAACAAACAAAAAAACCCCAAAAAACAAACCCAAAAAGTCAATAGCCTTCCTGAACCTGAATAACAGACTCATGGAGAGAAAATTTTGAGAACAATTCCTTTCACAATAGCATCCCCAAAATGAAATACCTAGGAATCAATCCAACAAAGGAACTAAAAGACCTCTACATTGAAAATACAGTACTCTGAAAAAGAAGATTAAAGAGGATATCACAAAATGGAAAGGTAACCTTTGTTCTTAGATACGAAGAACCAATATAGTGAAAATAGCCATATTTCCAAAATTATTATACAGATTCAATGCAATCCCAATGAAAACCCCAACAGCATATCTCACAGAATTAGAAGAAACAATCCTAAAATTTATTTGGAAGCAGAAGAGGCTTAGAATAGCAAAGACAATTCTGGGCAAGAAAGGCAAAGAAGGGAATATCACAATCCCTGACTTTAAAATATACTATAAAGCTATCATGACAAAAACAGCATAGTAGTGGCAAAAGAACAGACCTGAGGATCAATGGAACAGACTAGGGGATTCAGAAACAACTCCAGATATATTCAACCACTTCATCTTTGACAAAGGAGCCAAATACCTTCACTGGAAGAAAGATAGCCTCTTTAATAAATAGTTCTAGAAAAACTGCCTTTCCACATGCCAAAGACTGAAACTAGACCCATATCTTTCACTATGCACTAACCTAAAATCAAAACGGATCAAAGATCTAAATGTAAAAACAGAAACACTAACTCTGCTGGAAGAGAGAATAGGGAGAACGCCTGAGAACACAGGAGTAGGCAAAGACTTAACGAACAAAACCCAGTCCGCATGGGAAATATTACAAAGAATCAACAACTGGGACCTCATGTTATTGAAAAGCTTTTGCACAGCAAGAGAAAATATCAACAGAGTGAAGAAACAACCCATGGAGTGAGAAAAAAATATTTTTTACCAGCTATTTATTGAGACTATATAAAGAACTAAAAAAAATCAGACCCCCCCCCCAAATTTAAAGACCCAGTCCAAAATTGGACTTCTCAGATGAAGAATTAGAAACAGCAGGGCTGGGGATGTAGCTCAGTGGCACCGTGCTTGCCTGACAAGCACAAGGTCCTGAGTTTGACCCCTGGTACTGAAAAAAAGAAACAGCAAGTAAATATATGAAAAAATGTTCAATATCGCTGGTCATTCATGAAATGCAAATTAAAACAATGCTGATATTCCATCCCACTCTAGAAAGAATGGCTGCTATCAAGAAATCAATCAATAACAAATTCTAGCAGGGCTGTGAGGAACAAGGAACCCTTGTCCACTGTTGGTGGGAGTACAGACTGGTGTAACCACTGTGGAAATCAGTGTAGAGGTTGCTCAAAAACTAAAACTAGAGGTTCCATTTGACCCAGGTATACCTCTTCTTGGTATCTTCCTGAAAGAATCAAAAGCATCATACTACAGCAATATATACACACCTATGTGGTTTTTCTTTTTTTCTTTTTTGTACCAGGGATTGAACTCAGGACCTTGGGCTTACAAGGCAGGCTAGGTGCCACTGAGCTAAATCCCTGGCCCATGCACACATATGTTTATAGCAGCACAGTTTGTAATAGCTAAATTGGAAACAGTTTTTCTTTTTTGTACCAGGGATTGAACTCAGGACCTTGGGCTTACAAGGCAGTATAGGTGCCACTGAGCTAAATCCCTGGCCCATGCACACATATGTTTATAGCAGCACAGTTTGTAATAGCTAAATCTTGGAAACAGCCCAAATGCCCATCACCTGAAGCGTGGATAAAGAAGATGTGGGATTTTTTTGTTTTGTTTTTTAAATATATATATTGTTTTTGGTACCAGGGATCGAACTTGGAACCACTGAGCTAAATATCCCTGGCCCTTGGGCTGGAGATTTAGCTCAGTGGTTCTTTTGCCTGCTTCACTAAGCACAAGGTCCTGAGTTTGATATCTGTTACCAAAAAAAGAATGGTGGACTAAAATAAAATTTAAAGCACCAATTAGCAGAACTTATGTTTAAAAAAAATATCTCCCTGGCCCTTGTTTTGTTTTTTGTAGTACCAGGGATGGAATGCAGGACCTTGTGCTTTCCAGGCAGGTGTGGTGCCACTGAGCTACATCCCCAGCCCAAGATTTTTTTTTTTTTAACACAATAGAGTACTACTCTGCCATAAAGAAAGATGAACTTCAGACATTTATAACTAAATGGATGGACCTTAAGATTATACTCATAAGTGAAATAACCAAACACACATGTTAAAATACTGCATTGTTTCTCTGGTGTGAGAAACTGAAAGTGGAACTAAGCACTGAAATGTATAACGTATGTTGGAAAATGGGAAAAATGTGTTCAAATGTGAAGAGGAACAGGGAGGAGGGAGAGAGGAAGGAAGAAAGGGACCCAAAAAAGTGAAAATGGAAAAAAAAATGGAACAACACTTTGTACATAGGGAGGGGAGAGGACTTGACGGGGGGAATGGGATAAAATAAAATTTATTTTTAAAAAAGAGAGAAAAGGGAGCAGGCCTGGATGTCATGTGAAGTCATGGGCATCTTTTAAGTTGAGTGATATTACATCAGTGTCAGATATTACAAAGAGCCTCAGTAAACCCAGAACACTTGATTTGGGTGTCCACTGGTCAGTGAAATCTGTTTCTGGGGAACAGTGAAGGTACCAACAAGATTTCCATAAATAAAAGATTAATGTACCAGTATACAAAGCAGACAGTGTGCATAGATTTAGATGAGGGTAGGAGAAAGAGGACATAGCTGGAAGTAATACAGGGTAAATATTTTTCAAAAAATTTTTTAATGTTTCTAGGCTGTATGAAAAAACAAGAAAAGGAAAAGGCTAAAGAATAAAGAGAAAGATCAGCTGATGGTGCAGGGATTGGTTTGTTAGGCAAAGGGTCACCTTACCCTATGAAAGCAGCGGGAAGATAAAGAGGTAAGGCTGGGGTGAGGTAGGTAGAAGTCAAGGTAAAATGGCAAGGGAAGAAATCAAAGCCAACTGCCTCTAACTCTCCTGTGATGCCAATGAAGAGTCTTTTTTTCCTTTAGAATAGACTTTCTTGGTTTGAAGAGTGAAAAATGTTCGGCAAAGCTGTGTGCCTACCTAGAGGTGCCCAGCATGTGAAAAGAAGCACTGGTGGTATGGCCAAAGCTGCGTTGCTGTAGTGTCCTCAGTGACACAGACACATAGATTGAGCGTAACAGGCCTGGGAGTGAAAAATGTGTGAACAGACAAGGTGAGGACATTGAGCGTACAATAAGATTGGTTTAAGGGGTGGGCGAGATGATGTGCAGAGATGAGGTAGAGCTAGAAAGCCATTTCTGAGATGAGAGACTGGTAGATGGGAGATAGATGTTCAACAGCTAGAAGGATGGAGCTATGGGCTTGTGACTTTGGATCTCAGAGGAGGAATAGATCAGCAAAGCAGATTCAGGGAAAGTGTGTGAGTGCTGAGCGGAGAAAGAAGTCTTTGCAATTAGACTACACAATATTTCTGTGTAATGAGGTTGCCCAGGATGACAGTAGCACCGGGATGGAGGATGCCTGGAACAGTGTCAACAAAATGGGGTCATGGTAGATTGCAGAGGTTAGAGTGGGTAGTGTGGGGGTGGGTGAGGGGGTATGAATTATGTATAACTTTTGAGTGTGAAGGGCTTGAGTAAATAGGCATCTTGGGGCTTGAGGAATCCACAGGTATGCATAATGCAAGGGCCTAGGGTTCTGTTTATGGTTTGAGAATCTTGCCTAGTACAAACAGTTTAATAGACTGAGAAATATGAGTAGATATGAAGGGCTCTTGGGTCTAGATTCACTCATCTGTGAGGGGTGAGGGTCAGGGAAGATAGCCAACATATGATAGTGTGTGCGTGTGTGTGTGTGTAGTATGGAGAGAAGAATCCTACAGTTAGAGGGGCATGAAGGATTTGGGTGCAATTCTGGTGTGCAGACGTGATGGACTGTGAGGTGGTGTGCAGGGTGTGGAGTGTGAAGAGTCCAAGTGTTTCACCTGTTTTGGAGGGTGAAAGGAGCGGGTGGAGTGGGATGAGTCTAGGGTGTGCAAAGTTCGGGACCTGGAATGTATGGTGTAAAAGGACTGGAGAGAGGAGTATGGAGTGAGGAGATGGAGGTGAGAAGTCAGGGCGTGACGTGAGGAGACTGAGATAAGGGATTGTTGCGGGGATAGGTGGTTTTTGGTGAGGGGTGAAGGTATGAAGATAGGGGATTTTTGACAGGGGTCAGGATGGAGGGTCAGGGGACTGTGGTGAGGGGTCAGGATTACGGTGAGGGAACTCTAAATGAGGGTGAAGGGACAGAGGTGAGAGGTCAGGGTGTGTTAAAGGGCACACAGGCTAGGGTATGGGTGAGGGGACTCAGGTGACGGGTGTCTGGTGTGCGCGGTCTGAGATGAGCGGTCAGGGTGAGGGATGGAGTAAGGGGTGAAGATTCGAGGCTAAGGGTCTGCTGTGAGGCGGTTCAAGACCCTGGGACCCCACGTCAGGGTCTAGGGGAGCCCGGGGTCGGGTCAGGGCGGGAGATTCGCTCACCTCAGGCTGAGCCCGCGCTCGCTTCTGCTCAGGCGCCGCGCGACTTCTGGAAGGAAGCAGAAGGCGGCGCCTGGTAACGACGCTCCGCCTCTTTCCGTTACCCAACACGCCCTGGGAGTGGCCTCTTACGTTCATTGGCTGGCGGCGGGTGGAAGGGGCGTGGCCACTTGGCCCGCCTCGAGGTCTCGGACAGGCGGAGCCCTGGATTGGGAAGGCCAGAGGGTGAGCCGGAACAGAGCGGATTTGAGGCCTGGCCGCCAGCTGTGGCGCCTCCGCTCCCAATGGTTATGTTCTTACCCCGCCTGTCTGTGTGTAAGGCCACGTGCCAGGGCCCTGTGTAATCACTGTGTCCCTGGTGTCCAGAACAGCACCTGGCAGGGAAGGTGTTCCTCAACATGTGTTAGAGGAGTAGCTGAACATCTAGTGTTTCCGTCTTCACAGCTCATAAGTGCGGCCCACACTGTTGCACGTTGCCAACTGAGCACTGTCTCACAGAAGAGGGAGCCAAGGCCCAGCCAGGGCAAGGAGGCTCGGGGATGAAGCAGAGCTCCCCACAGGTACACTAAGCTAGAAAGGGCTGAGCAATGGTTCCAGCCTAGGCCTGCCTGACGCTCCTGGCCTCCGGGCAGTGGTGCCACGCAAGCACAGGTAGTAAAGCTGCTCAGCACTTAGGGGTCAGGCATATAAAGCTCTGGAAGAGAGGAAACTGGACGTAAGGCAGCCCGAGCCCTGTCCTATTCAGAGGGTCCTGGGCACTGCAGAGCATGGTAAGCAGAGGGGTGGCATGGCTGCTGGAGGTAGGAGGAGGTAGAGCGGCCTGTTGCTTTTGTTTGGGTAATGATGGAATTGTGGATAAGGGAAGGCCTGGTCATGGTGGACAGCACACAGAGAAGGTACACTTGGCAGGACTTAGTAATAGGGGAGGTCAGAAAGAGAAGGAATGAGTTGGGGCTGGAAGGTGAGTCCCAGGCTGAGATGTAGAAGAGTTTGAGAGGTGAGTTTGGACGGGAGTTAACTTTGATTTGAACACCTCGCATTTGGCAACATGACAAACATGGGACCCCTGTGTCTTCTCCCAGAGATTCTGATCCTTAGCAGACTAATCGCAGAGGAAGAAAAATAGCTGGAGTGAAACCAGACAGCTCTAGACACAGAGTGGACATTAGTATATCTATGGAGGAGACTGGCCAGGCTTCTCCCTGAGATGCCAGGCTCCGCCCCTTCTGAACCTACTTTTCTGGTTGTCCTTTCCAAAATGTGAACTTCCTTTTGTACTTTCAGTCATTCTTCCATTTGTTTTAAACAGCCCAGGGCTGATTTATAGCACTCCAGAAATATATGAATCAGGATTAATTCTGGTGGGTAATGAAGTCAGCCTTCAGGAAGAATAGGCACTCATTAGGCTTAGAGTGGGCCCAGGATTCCAGGCAGAAGGTCCACTGAGAGTGAAGGTCAGGGTTCACGAAAGCCTACTTTCTTTAGGGAATTGAGAGGAGACTCAGGCAAGCTCAGTTTGGCTGGAGTCTCAGTGGCCTTGAGTACCCTAACTGGCACAGGAAGGTTTGCTCTCTGAAACATCCTGCAGCACCCAGGCCATGAACGTTTGGGTTCTCAAGAAGCCCAGAAGATGTCAGTCTGGTCTGTCCATGGCCTTGTGCATCTGAGACCAGCAGACTGCCTCCAATGATTCCATTATGGCCTGGGTACACATCCAGACTATAGCTCCTAGACTCCCTTGCAATGACTCCCGACTAGTGAGGTATAAACAGAAATGTTCTGCATTGTCATCACAAAGTGACCCTCTTTTTCTCCTCCTCTATGTACTTGCTCAGTGTTGATGCTGAAGGCAGGGCCTCGGTCAGCCCTGCTCCTCCAATGACGGTATGCAGCATAGCCCCCACCTCAGCCAACTAGATTTGAACTGTGTAAGAGTTAAACTTCCATTCTCTGAAGCTATGGATTTTGTTAGTCAATGGGACATAAAGGAGCTTTTTAGGGTCTGGTAGGGAGGTTGTCACCAGAGGTTTATACCATGGTTTAGCACTATGGCTTCTCCTCTCATTTACTTTAACCAAGAACAAGCCCAATAAAAGTGCTTTAATGGTTGAATTTCAATATTAATTAACAGCCAGCTGGTTGGAAACTTCACTACTCTCTTGGATTTGGGTGAGCAAACCAGTGCTGGGTAAGAAACCTACTGAAATCCGGACACTTTTTTAGGGAAGGCTACACAGGCACTATGAGCAGTAGCAGTTTGAAAATATTCTGGAAGTCCAAGAAAGCTCTGGACACGGAGTGGAATGTAACATTTTGTAAGGAATGGAATGTAACATTTTGTGAGGAAAGTTGTACTTTTATCAGCTCATGGAGATTCAGAAGAGGTTAGGATCCCGGGAATTTGTTTTGCTTTCATGGTCTTTTTTTTTTTTTTTTTTTTTT